CTAAATAAATAATAAATTGCGCATGTTCACATTTAGTTGATAAGGTGATGACTCTAATTGCTCTTTTCATGAGTTTTTTGACTGAGCTGGTGACTGAGGGGTATGCACCTGACCACACTACATTACAGTAAGTTACCTGAGGCATACACAAGGCATTGTATAGCATATTCAAGCATCTCCTCGGCAAGAAAAACTTTATTTTGTTTATTATACAAATAGATTTGGCTAGTTTTGAGCAGATGTTGTCTATGTGTGACCGAAAGGATAATTTCTGATCCAGAAAGACTCCCAAAAACTTGACTACTTTACTTTCAATGATGTCACAACCATTTATTACAATTTTGAAAGGTTCTTTATAATTTAAAAAATTTACTGGACCAAACACAATCATCTGAGTTTTTTTCATATTTATTGTTAACTTATTATTTTTAAACCAGTTGCTAATGTGCACAATTTCTACGTTAGTTTTTGCAATCAATTCATTGACGTTTTTGCCTACACTGAAAACATTAGTATCATCTGCAAAGCAGATATAATCAAAGTAAGTTGAAGAGTTTGGCAAGTCGTTTATGAAGATAACAAAAAGCAGGGGCCCCAAAATCGACCCTTGTGGCACCCCAAATTTATTGAGCACTATCGCTGATACTTCATTTTTCCATTTCACGAACTGATTTCGATTTGAAAGATAACTTTGTATCCATTTTAGTGTTGTGCCTCTTATTCCATATTTTTCAAGTTTTCCCAGAAGTATCCTGTGGTCTATACAGTCAAATGCCTTGGTAAGATCTAAGCAAGTACCAACAACATAATTTTTATTTTCTGTCTCTCTCCCGATTTTACGAAGTAATTCTATAATAGCTAATTCTGTTGAATGGTTTTGTCTAAATCCAAATTGAGAATTCGTTAACAAATGATTTTTTTCTAAAAAAAGGATTAACCTGTTGTACATCAACTTTTCGATTATTTTAGAAAAAGCAGGTAATAGTGCGACGGGTCGATAATTCGTAAAATCTGATTTTCCTCTTTCCTTTGCTATGGGAATGATTTTAGCCATTTTGAAACAAGAAGGAAATTGACCTGACATAAAAGACAGATTAATAAGATGTTCAAGCACATGTGCTGTTGATCGGATGGTAGCCATAACAATTTTACTAGGTATTTCATCCAGTCCAGAAGACGATTTTGCTTTGATTAGTTTTGCTGTAGTTATTATTTCTTCTGTTGTAGTTTGCAAACAGAAAAACGAGTTTGGCAACTGATGATGAATTGTTTCTTTCCATGATTGATTATCCGGTAAGGATTTCTGAAGGTTTTGAGAGATGTTAACAAAGTAATTATTTAGAAAATTTGCAGGCGATGCTATAATTTGTTCATTATCTGTGATCGATGCAGGGTTGATCTTTTTTTGCCTGCTTGTTAACCTATTAATTATTGACCAAGTTTTTTTCGAGTCATTTTTATTTTTGTCCAACAAATCACAGAAATATTGCCTTTTCAGAATAGATTTAACCTTGTTGCAAATTTGACTTTGTGATTTAAATTTCAGAAAATTCTCACTACTTGAATTTTTAATGAACTTTTTGTACAAGTATTTTTTTTTATTCAGCATTCTGCGAAAATCAGTTGTTACCCAAGGCTTTTGTTTTAAAATTTTTTTAATCTTTCCTAATGAGCTGACCTGACAACAGTCTTTAAATGCCACACGGAAAATGTTGGTGAAAAGTTCGAAAGCAGCATCCACATCTGAGCACAGTAACACATCTGTCCAGTCGGTTGATAGCAGTCTTTCATTTAGTTTATCAATTCTGTGTCTTGAAAAAGAAAATTGATTTTCTCGGTTTTCAAATTCTATTTTCACTAATTGTTGCTTGAAACATGCAAATATGGGTAAGTGATCCGAAATGTCTGTCAAATGCACTCCACAAACTGTTACGTTCTCCGATGCATTGGTAAAAATACTGTCAATCAGAGAGTTTTTTTGTATGTTTATTCTTGTTGGTTTATTTATTAATGCTTTTAGATTATAAGATGTCAGTAAATTTTGGAGTTGACTACTGTAAGATTCGTAATTTTCCAAAAGATCTATATTCAGGTCTCCGGTTAAATAAACTAGTTTTTTCTCATTATTTATGGCTAGCAAAACTTGTTCAAGTTGCTTCATATAAACTTTTTTGCTGTAATGTGGTGGTCGATACGTAACAATAATTAATGAGTTGTTTTTAGACGAGATTCCCACTTCAATTGCAAATAACTCTAGTTCATTTGAAATCATCAAATCATTTCTTATCTTAAATATAATATCATCTTTTACAAAGAGGCCGACTCCACCCCCGTGTCTACCGGAACGATTTTTGCCAACAAATTGAACCCATTAATCCA